TCATGAAAATTTATTTCACATGTCGAATAATATATCAGGATCTTGAAATTAACTTTAATGTCCTTGGCAAGAAGCCCATTGATCGAATCACGTATCCTCCTCCTCCTCCTCCTCCTCCTCCTCTCTTTTCTGTGTACATATACTAAACTTCTTTTTTTTTTTTCTCATGAACCTTCTCGAGCCAAAGTCCATCTAATTTGGTGACAACGGTCTAAAAGGTGAAGACACCAGGCCAAATACTCCGCCAGAAAAAGAATTCTATTCGTTTATACTTTTATTTTATTTTCTTTATTTTTTTATTATTTTTCAACCACCATAACCACAACCACCACTGGTCCACCACATATTTCTAATTAAATTGATTAGAATTATATTAGATAAAAACATATTGAGATCTCTGGCAGGGGGGCGTGGCGTGGCGTAGCTTAGCAATTCGACCTATCTACTCTAATTTTGAATTTAATCACCAGATAGCGTATTCAAGTGTGCTAAAGATCCCACGTGATGTAGCAATTCGACTTATGTACTCTAATTTTGAATTTAGTCACCAGATAGCGTNTCACCAGATAGCGTATTCAAGTGTGCTAAAGATCCCACGTGATGTAGCAATTCGACTTATGTACTCTAATTTTGAATTTAGTCACCAGATAGCGTATTCAAGTGTGCTAAAGATCCCACGTGATGTANTACTCTAATTTTGAATTTAGTCACCAGATAGCGTATTCAAGTGTGCTAAAGATCCCACGTGATGTAACAATTCGACCTATGTACTGTAATTTTGAATTTAGCCACCAGATAGCGTATTCAAGTGCGCTAAAGATCCCAATACAATGTTTAATGAATTTATTGTTTTATTAATATTTATACTTGTGTAATGTGGTTTCATATTTTATTGAGATTGATGATCCAACAACGATAAAAGAAAAAAAAAATGTTGAAACCATAGAAATTAGATTTGAAAGTTGTAATTTAATAAGTGACGAAAAAGTAAGAAGGTATACCGAAAGAGGTCATTCACCTTCAAAAGAGGAGAGTGAACGACGTAGCTTAGGTGTTGAAGAAGCAAAAGGGGGTCTGTCGTAACATGGCCACCGTCCCAACGATACCGGAAGTTGCTGTCTAGACGATCCTTACTTCTTCTTTCCTTCTTTCTTACTCTTATTCATCATCTTCCTTTTTTTTTTTTTTATTATTATTATTAAAGTCTTAAAGTGTGTGTACAGAAACATATTTTGTTTCACTTCATTTTACATCCATTTGTTTATGATTTTCTAAATCAAAATGGAGTCCTCGAAAAACAAAAGTAGGTTGTCTTGAAAAAACACACGAGCCTTCCGTAGTCATTTGAAACCAAAAATTCAAACGGATTATTATATTAACTTGTCGCTAATGACTAAATGTTTAATATGCAAACATTTTTTTAAAAATAACAAAATGGCGTAGTTGCAAAAAGAAAAGTGCAACTTTGATAAGAAAGTCTCACAGCAACGCTTTTAACATCATAGAAATAAAAGCAAGATTTGTTTCTAAAGCAAGTTTTATCTAATATTCCATTCCCCATAATTCAGAAATAGAAAATATGATAGAAGAGGGATCGTAAAGCTATCTAACAGCTTTCTAAGTATTGGGACTAGCGATACCATAAACTAAGATTACGAGACGAGAAACGATGAACGTGTTGGAATAACACACACACACACATATATATATATATTACACGTTCTGTKTGTGATATATACTGTAAAACACCATTGAGAAATACTCGTACGATTCTCTTCCCCTTTTCCCCTTCCCCTTCGAGTATGCGTGGGACTTCCGTTTTTCTTTCTATAATTCTATTGTTACTACTTTTTTTTTTGTTTTGTTTAACCATATCCTATATCCCTTTATAGTTGTTACACACAACACACACACACACACACGTATTGGGATCTCTAGCAGGGGGGAGAGGCGTGGCGTAACAATTCGACCTATGTACTGTAATTTTGAATTTAGCCACCAGATAGCGTATTCAAGTGCTAAAGATCCCAATACGTATCGAATAATAACCCTTATTTAATAAAATAACATTTAATATTTAGTTACTTGTTGAAAACCAACCCCGTACTTTGAAATTAACTAACATTTGAGTTATTTTTTTGTTCTTTTTTATGATTTTTAGTACGTGTCACAGTTAACTAATACATCAATAATAATAAATACATAGATTGTGTTATCGTTCTAATTCAATGTTTGTAGATTGGATAAGGTAAATTTTCTAAATAAAATGTGTTAAAGATAAGATAATTTACATAGTTATTCTGACATCTCACTCACTAGTTTTATCTATCTTATGATTATCTTTATTCTTATCTATATCTCGAATTTTTTTTTTTTCTTTTCTTTTCTTTTCTAATTTCGATACACGGTGTCGTGAATAGAAATTTACAAAACATTTTTCAACAATTTGTCTCTATCATGGTAGAGTAAGAGCTGGTTAGAAGATCCGGCAACTCTCTCTCTCCCTCCCTCCCTCCCTCTCTCTCTCTCTCTCTCTCTCTCTCTCTCTCTGTTTCTCTTTGTTTCTCTCTGTCTCAGTCTCACTTAGTCAATCAGTCGGTTCTCTCTGACCGTTTCTTTTTCTACTCAATAACTTAGACTTTCTTGGTGGTCGTACACATAGTTGAAAGAAACCGGTTTTCTTCAAAGAAGTTTCCTTAGCAAAAAAAAAAGGGTATTCTACATTGCTTTGCTGCTACGCACGAATTCTGAGGAATGTTTAAAGGAAGAAAAAGAGTCTGAGAAGGACAAGATAGATAGACTAAGAAAGAGAAAGAGAAAGAGAAACGGTAAGTGGGGTTGAACAGGGACAGGAAGAAAGAAGAAGAGAGGAATGGAATGTGAAAGAAGTTAAGATACGAGGGACAATGTTGATTCTCATCAATGTTGAAAAGAAGTCGAAGTTAAAATAAAAAGAAATAATAATTATAAGAGGAGAAGTAGAGGTGGT